TGTATTAAAAGTGATATAAAGATGTAATGTAATGTAGATAAGGTGGATGATTTTATTTTAACGTGATTTTTGAATCACTACAATAATTGTTCACATTTAATCTTACTATTTTCAAAAACATTATAATCCATTAGAAATTCTAATGCATTCGATTGTATTAGTATTCTTAAAAGGAAAAGAAAACATTTTTACAAAACTAAAAATATAAGAATTTTGAATATACAGTATTCTGTATATTTAAATGGTAATATCTAGCTAATAAAATTATGCGAATGGGTACATTTAATAGTAATAATCTGTAAATTTAATTCCAGAATTCAATTACAAGTTTTAATTTTGGCTTATAACTTTAAAATTATAAGTTATAAATATCATTTTATGCATTCATGTAGTTTATTTAACCTTACTCAATTTATCTATTACTCATATTATATTTGATAAATTTTGGTTCAATTAATCATTGGTATAATTGTTGTTATTTATAAATTATAATAAAAATATTTTTAATAATAAAATGTGTATTTCGTTAATTAAACCTAGTATACAATATATTGTTAGTAATATTTAAAATGAGCAGTCAATTAAACTAAAAACTAAACTATCATAAACTAAAAACATGAATGCATACAATGATGTTTATAAGCGCCAAAATTCAAACTTGTAATTGAATTGTGGAAGTTTGGCCCGCGTTGGCCGGTTTGGTGGGTCCCCCGTCGCAGAGGCACAGCTCGGGTCCGATCAGTGATCACATTGTGTTGAATGAGAGAGCAATGGTTTGTGTCAGTGACTCACGAGTCAGTGCACATCTATTACAACTACTCTTAAATCAGAAAGTCAGAGCATAAATGGTCAACATTTTTAATGTACAATTTTTGGCATTTATCCCATTATCACTGAACAAGGATCTTTAATTGAATTTAAATTAATTTAAATTATGTTCATTACAAAATAAATGAAAAGATCAAGACTTGGGGTATAATATATGGCGAATTAACCAAATTATACGCTCAATACGCGTGTAAAGAATTTAACGATAACTTTGCTCTACTCGTCAAACACTGCGGTTATAGAAAAGATAATTTACCACAACTTCAAGACGTGTCTCTCTTTTTAAAAAGTGAGTCAAGCATGTTTTATTTTAAAACCATATTCATCATTCTTACAACATTAATTTACGACACACTTTTTAAAAATTCGTTATGACCTAGCTTAGTTTAAACAAATCATCTTTAATGAAGGGACTATTAGTACTATGGAGTAGTGAAACCAAGTGTTAAACTCTATATTAAAATTATATTTTTAATGAATTAAGAATTAGTAATCTTATTAAGTTATGATTAAAGCTTCCATTTTTCGGAAGTAAAAACATCCAAATTCGGCAATAAAAAAGTCAAAATCGGGAAAATTCGGTAATAATGATTGTATTCAATGTTAACACAATAATTATGCATTTAAATCATTTAGAAATAAATTATATTTGATAGTGACATGAGATTTGAGATTTTCTTCAGTTAATGAATGCCTTCTATCTGTGAGGATATTCTTAAATTGAGAGATAGAAAGCTTATGTTTAATGTTGAGTTTGACACTTGGTTTTTCTACTCCAACGTATTAATAGTCCCTTCATTGGAATCGAATAGTTTTTATTCTAAACTTTAGAATATTAAATATTTTGAGCATTGTAAATTAAACATATTAACATTATACTGCATAACTATTATAATATAATATTATTATAACTATAACATTATACCTAACTAAATCGGGAAATAATTTTTGTAACATCGTACTTTGGCCATTATCTTGGTTTGATCCAGTTGATGTACTGTAGATTCATATATAATCTCTGTTGTTAAAATGTGCCAATAGCCAGAGATCACCAAGCTATGACCAAGTTTTATTCGTGTAATTAGATTTTGGTTATTACTCGTTCATCACTTTTGTACCCACTTTTCAATACAATAAACACTATATACGATTACACACGATTAGAAAACTGCCCATAACTCGGTGGTCTCTGGCCATTGGCACATTTTAGCGACAGATAATACATCGAATGAATCTACTGGATCAGATCAAAACTAGATAATGGCCAAATTGCAATGTCACATAATCTATTTGTTGACAAAGTTGCTTTTTGCTGTTGAGTTGAAATATAAGTTATATGTTATATGTATAAAAGACAGGACTGGGTTTCAATTGAGACCAGTGGCCGGTTACCTGTCATCACGTGACTTCTTGGCCGGATTGGCATTTCGAGTGTTTCATTGCACACAATATATTCGCCATTCATGCGATCCTTTCTATACCCCGGGTTTGAAACAATGTTTAATGCAATCCATGAATGCTTTCATTAGTTAATTATATGTTTGATTGTTTGAAGAGCCGGACTGTTGTCATGAATTGTTAGGTCACTGCGCTTTGATGGCTGACCCAAACTTTGCCCAATTCTCGCAAGAGATAGGTTTGGCATCACTCGGCGCTAACGACGAAGAGGTGGACAAATTGGCCACGTGTTACTTCTTCACTGTTGAGTTTGGTTTATGCAAACAAAACAATGAGATGAAGATTTATGGCGCCGGCCTCTTATCAAGCGCTGCTGAACTACAAGTATTTCATACCTTATTGTTTTGTCCTTAAATCATGCTTTCACTCTTACATTTAAAATTCATATCATACCCATGTTTTGCAATCATAATATGATAAATATATTTACTTCCAATTCGATCATTAAAATATAATTTTTACAAAACTACTTGAAAATTTAATTAAGTGCACGATTTTTTATATTGAGAATTAATGAAATTTGTATAAATAAATGGCGTAATGATATTATTAATGGTATTTATATTGAACTGTCACATAGCATGCTATTTCAGACTCAGCCCATGTATTAGCTTTCGATCCATTGATAACTTGTCAACAAATACCAATGATTACAACCTTTCAAACACATTATTTCTACACTGAAAGTTTTGAAGAAGCAAAGGAGCAAATGAGGTATTTTATTTTGATGCCTATAAACCACATTTTTAATATATCTCATAATAATACATAAATAAAACATATAAAATATTCTAATATTAACTAATATCTTAATAATGTTGTAATTTTACACTCATTTTGATATATTTTGTATACATTGTGTTTATTGTGTTTTAGATACTGTATATATTTAATTAAAATGTATTATTTATAGAGAATTTGCGGCTACTATTAAGAGACCATTTGGTGTTCGCTATAATCCTTACACTCAAAGCGTTGAGATACTGAGTAATACAAAGAAGATCATGGATTTAGTGAGTGAATTAAAAGGCGATTTGTGTATTGTTTCAAACGCTCTTCAAAAGATTAAAATACAAAAAACTGACAAATAATTTGTTTAATTTATACAAATATAATTTATACATTATAAACATTCATTTCGTTAAATATGTTTTTATATTTTATTCTTTGTTTAAATGAAACATATTTTAATCTAGGAGTAAATTAGAGAACTGAAATTGTCTTTAGTAAATTAGTAAAACATTATTTGAGTTCGCAAAATTATATTTTAAAAGTTTACTAATATTTTTTAGTTTATTAAATTGTTTTTTATAATTTATTATATCTTTGAATATATGTTGAAACTTTATTTTATTAACCAATTTAAATGCTCGTCATAATGACAAGTGATGACAATGTTATGTAACTTATATTCAATAATATTTGAGCTGAAGGTTCGGTATTACATAAATAATTTATTATTATTATTGAAAATTTAGTAGAAGATTGTGCACTTATTTAAGTATTGGTATATTTTAGATATGTTGAAAACAGTTGTAATGATAGTTAATTGTTGTCTATATACTCATTTCATTTGGTTAAAGATTAATATTTGAAATGACATAAATTATTATACTCTATATACAAAATCTATTACAGTATTCATTATAATAAATACAATTTTAATTTTGTTTGTTGTTAATCATGTTATCTAAGAAAATAAGTTGAATTTATTTGCTTTAAGTACTAATTAGTTAAAGAATCGATTTTTTGAATATAAAAATGAAATAAAATTTATTAGTAGATTAATTATTTGTCTTAATTATAACTAAAATTAATTAATTTACAACATTAAGTACATAATTATAAATTTATTATTATCTAATAAAAACATTTATCATTAATTGAATAATTATTTTAGTAGTAATTTTAATATTTTTTAAAAACTACTTTTGTTTTTTAAGTAAATAAACAATTTTTACTTTAATAATAATTGAGTTAAGTTGACATAACGTTTGAATTTCAATTCAAATAATTATATTTGAAATTTTAAAATAAAATTATTATTTAGATATACTTTAGTATATCTTTCTTAATATAAATTATTTACAAATTATATAAAAGTATGTAATCACCAGTAATTTGATTATAATTATAAGAAACGGTTATGGCTAAAAGCAATTTCACTATAAATAACACTACAATACAAGATAAGTAAATAAAATGCAGTTTCAAATTATTATTGTCATGCACATTTATTTGGTTATATTGTTCTTTAAGTTATAATGTTTTAATCAATTTGTTATTAACTTATATTTAATTTTATATTATAAACTTAAACAAAGATCTTTTATAATCTAATAACATCGTGCGTAATAAAATAAATAACTTGATAATATTGTGTGGCCAATTTATATTGGTAAACATGCTTAGCACTTAACATTAATTCTTATTATAAGTATAGATGACTTAAACTTAATTCTAAATATTGATTGATTTGTTATTGAAAATATTTTTGTTTGCATTCATTGATCTCAATAATGGTTTTGAGTGCATAATAATACACATACATGTATATAAAGTAACATTTATAATAATAATGTTTAGATTAAAATATATTTGCAATTTTTTGTTTGAAATAATTGTTTCAATTAGTACTTCAATTAGTATTTACAAACTTATTGTAAATCTAATAAGAGATTATTTAATATAAGATCAATTTATGTTTCAAAATGTAATCTAATTTATTAATTACAAATAACTGACAATTATATATTTAGAATTTATTAAAACTAATCCTAGATTTTTATAACATAATGAAATTTGTTGAATCAATTATGATATTTTATTAATTTGTAGTACTTATGTTAAATTGTCATGAATGCAAATGAGAGAAATACTTATAAATAATGATATAAATATGTATAGAAAAAATGAATTTGATTATTATGTCTATATTATAGAGCATATTGTAATTAAAATTAACTTCATGATATTTAATGAATCTACTGTATGGCTGTACGTAATGCAATATATAATGTTAATTATTAAACCGAGATATTTAAACAGATTTGTCCAATGTTACTATTAATATTTATAGCGGCTGTTAATAGTCACAAAATCATGATAAATGTGCTTTCGTTTTGATTGTAATTATATTATTATGAAAATAATTATTAGCGTTAAACATATTTATAAAATACAAAATTATTTCATAAATCAGGTAAACAATGATTATATCATGTATTTATAGACTTAGTACTTTTTAGTGTAATTTTAAGAGCAGCCGCACCGGTCAACTACCATTCCCGGTAACATACCATATATTATATTATAATTGTCATCAAAGTATAGCATTGAAATGGCAGACATTTTTCTGGGTGAACAACAGGGCCCGGCAGAGCCCGAGGGGTTGGCCTGTTGTACGAGATGTGTGTGCGGGTACTTCTGGAGGAAAACATAGGGACATTCGCCGCTACAATAGTTGGCTTCATAGCGTTTTGGAGCTATAATCCAATCCCAACCAAACTCTTCAAAGTCAACAGTCAATGGATAACGACAACAACGGACTTCATTGGAATTCTCCTCACAATTTAGTCCAACCATTCGTCTCTTTCTATTCACAGCTTTGGATTCCACTCTCACTTCAATGAATGGCAACTAATCGTTAAAATAAATTTTCAATTTGTAAATTATCTTAAATTATAACATAAACATGTATATTATAGCAACATTTTTATAGTAACAATTGTGTTATTCAATGAGTTAATTAGCATTTGTTTAAATGTATGAAAATACCAGTGAAGTATCTTCATTAGCATTGGCTTCAATCACTGCTAACTCTTTGCCGTCGTTATCATAAGAATGTATGGCCAGTCCAAGATTTTCATTGGGATGTCTGAACCACTGGGAAACCAATTTTTTGAGTTCAATTTGAACCCAAACTCCCTTCTTAGAGCTGACATCAATTTTTTTGGCCCTAACCTGAGTATCAAAACAAATAATTAATCCATAATTAATATGTGAAGACATAAAACACTAAAATAATTGAATTACATGTAGAAGTGTTGGCGAATCGTTTCCGTTTTCAGGTTTTACAATTTGATAGATAACTATCCACGCATTTGTGTCCTGCAAATGGTTTGTCGGCCTAACAAATACCCATAAATGAGCTTTTGTTACGTGAGAGTTGAGCACATTTGAAGGAAACTTAAAATATTGACACTTCACTTCTGGTGGTATATTCAGCGAATTTGGGGCTATTTTGGCAACAAATACACTAATATTAGTTCATTTAATATCATTTAAATCATTCATTATTATTAAACCATTTCTATTTTTGTGTATTTTTATCTTTAAATTTCATAGTCTATGAATCATAGAATAGCTTTTATAACATAAAACATTTCATTTTAAAAATATAAATAAAAAGTTAAGATCTTACGATAACTTATTTAATTTAAAACTTAAACACATAGTGTGTAAGATTTAAGTACTAAAAAGTGATTCAGCTCTCTCTCTCTCTCTCTCTCTCTCACTTCAAAGTAAATGTTATTGTATTATATAGAAAATGGTAAGCATTTGAGAGTACTCCTCATTATGTTGACCTGGCTATTCTACTAAAAAGTGATTCAGCTCTCTCTCTCTCTCTCTCTCTCTCTTTCTTTCTTTCTTTCTCCTCTCCTCTCCTCTCTGGCGATTACCGGTGCAAAACATATGCATTTTTTTTGTATTTTTTGTGCTGATGGTGATTGTGTATAGTACAATATATATACTACATATGTGTAGGTAATGGTAAGGCAGGTATGAGTGGTGTCCAGCTGTGCGATTGCTAGGCATATAACTAAACAGTGAGAACGAAAGACCTTCACCTCTCAGATTGACCCTCAAAAAAGCTTTGGCTTTTGGACACCTCAGCTCACATCAGCTCACATTTAATCCATGTGTAAAAAATTCAAAACAGCTTAAAATATTTCTACTTTTATAAATAAAATAAAACACAAGTATGAGAATAGCCAGGTCAACATAATGAGGAGTACTCTCAAATGCTTACCATTTTCTATATAATACAATAACATTTACTTTGAAGTGAGAGAAACAAGAGCTAAATACTGAATTTGGTGAGTTTGTTCGTTTAAGTTGTAATAATTAGCTATCAAACTCTTGGCCATTCTCTCCATTCCCTTACATCTTATAATAATAGCAAATAAACGAAATATAAGACACAATTGAAGGAGATTTGAGTTGTTGTGTTCAGCTGCCAGTCCTAAACAACTACATGCCGTACATCTAGTGATGTGGCGTAACCATCAAACACAAAGATTAGAGACTCTAATGGTTATAATTAACATAAGAAATTTGATTCATTGATTCATAGAGACTATTATGACAAAGACTTTGGTATATATAGTACTTTCCTTACAGCGGATAATCATTTTTCATTTCATAATCTTTTGAGTGTATATTATTATCAGTTATTACCAATAAGTTATAACACATCCCATCCCATCCCATTATCCCAGTGTTAGTTGCAATGCATTATATAGCCGGAGGTGATCCTCGATTTTGAAACACACTCTTCACGGGCTCTTCACAGTAAAAGTATCCGTATTTGAGTCGAGTATTTATAAATTTATGTATTTATTATTGTATCGACATTTGAAAGACCTATTTTACTGGTGTTTATGTTGTTTACTCTCATATTTCTCTTAACATATTCTTTATTTTTGATCCAATACTCTATGAATAATGGACTTCAAAATGCAAACCGATTTGATTTACAACTAGACCGCTAGCTCTCTGCTCTCAAACACTATATTGCATACCTGTTCCCTCTATTCTCATCTCTCTCTCCCTCTCTCTCCCTCTCTCCCGGTGTTGCTGTTGTAAGCCGTGTGAAGAAGTCATCTCAAAGATTATATTTTCTGATAATAAACTGTATTTGTGGCCAAAAACACATTTCTTATAACATGAGTACTTCGTTTTATTTAAAACCAAATAAATTATAGCTGTATTTGACTTCTAATAGCTTTTAATGCGTTTTTAGTTTACTGTATATTTCCCTCATTTAATCAATTAAACAACAATTGGGTCAATAATAATGAACTTATTTCCTAAAACATATCGCTTCTCTCATATCGATTATAAATTATTTGTTTTTAATTATTTGACTTTTTACATTACTTTTTATTCAATCTGTTACTAAGGCATCAACATTTTAATGTAATTATTCTCATTTAACTTATGATTTTTAAAATTTTATTAAAACTAAAGTGATATAAATTTGGGAAATTGCTTTTTTATTTGGTATTTATAACTCCATACTAATGTTATATTATTATCTTAACAAATATATAATAACATTTACAAAATAATAAATTAACATTAATATTCATTGTGTAATTAAATGTAAAATTCTTATGTCTACAGTACTAAATATTTGCACAAACGTCTAATAAATCAAATTGTGATATCATTGACAATTTAGGGAAAGGACATTCAGATTCTCCACTAACTTGTTTACCATATGATCTCTGATAACGAATTTAAAACTCTCTCTCTCTCTCTCTCTCTCTCTCTCTCTCTCTNTCTGCTCTCAAACACTATATTGCATACCTGTTCCCTCTATTCTCATCTCTCTCTCTCTCTCTCTCATAATTCAGTAAAAATTATTTAATATTCAACTCATATTCACTTTCACTAAATTTAATAAATTAATTGAAAATATAGTGAAATATAGTGTATAATAATTTCAAAACTTATGTTTAGTTATATTAAAGAAATGATTAAGTAAAAGAATGTTAACCACAGTAATTAATACAATAAATTTATAAATTAAAAGAGGATTTACAGTTTTGTAAGAATTAAGAATTTTATGATAATATATGATTAAATGTAAAATTGGAATAAAATTATTAAACTAAACTAACAAATAGATTATTAAAAATGCATTTTTATACAAACAATTGATTAAAATTTGATTTAATGCTTACGTTTTTGAGCAAAACTTATGGATCGCTCGGCGTTTACAAAAAACTCTTCCAAGTCTTCATCTTCTTTATCAATGGTGTGATCGTTGTCTTCAATAAAACTGTTAAGCAGTTGAGAACCTGACACTCGGGGGTCGTCTCCCAGCATATTATATCGATCTAATAAGTGATGCAGAGGTGGTATACGAGGCAATGATTTGCCTGTGATATTAGGCGCTACTTTAAGCCCTAATTTATTAAGTATATTAACTTTAATGGTCTCCAGGCGTCTAGTTTTTGCTTCCTCATGAAGTACACAACGCGTACAGTTTGTATGCGAACCCAACTCTTCATCTGATGTCACATCCGATACATCCAACAAGTGGTCGTCGTCTTCGTTGATATTCCTGTTAACATTAGTTGCCATCGAGTTGTCTGAGTTATGTCTTTGTTTTGCCCAAATAGGAGCCATCGGTGGTAGAAAATCGTGTTCCCTGTGAGCGCTATCAGCGCCCGATGCAGAGTCATCCGAATCCGACTGCCATTCATTCATATGAAGTGATAATTGTTGCCCAGTATTGCTAATATTGCTAACAACCATAGGTTTTGATGCAATTAATTGATTATTATTATTAGTAATGTTGTGGTGATTGGGATGAAACATATCAATGGTGTGATGATTGTTGGAATGGGTTGTGCCGTGCGATCGATCCCAGGCTTCGATAAACTGTTTGAGCGCTGCCTCTAAGTTCTCGTTGTCGTCCAGAATTGTGTTTTGCAGACCTGTCTTGTGCTCAGAATTGGATAGGTTTTCGTCGTAACTTTCTGTGCTTTTGCTTATATGACTCCCAATACTGCTATTAAGTATTGTAAATAACAATAACAATATACATGTATATAAAGTACACCACGATTTAAACATCTTTTTGTTGGTCATTTTTATCTAATTATATGTAGTATATTTATGAATAAATTTATGAGTAAACAACAAACTAAACAGTTATCACTAGAATTGGTTCAGAAAAGTTGCATTTATTGGTTATTAAAATGTAAACTCGAGAACTGATAGTCGGCACCGAAAGCAGTGAGAAGCCGATGGTCTATAGAGTTGGTGTTGATGTTGTGATTTCCGGCACTCTTCTCACTGTTGGCAGTCAGAAGTCGGTGTCCCTCTTGAGCATTGGTTTTATAGTTGGTTTGTCTCCAACACTAGAGTTTGGAGCAAAAAGAAAACCCAATCCGACCCCGCCTTTGCTGCAGAGAGATTGGCACTCGATTTCTGGCTATATGTAAGTGCGATGAATATATCTATACCTTAACTATAACTCAATACAACTCAATGAGAGTTAGGTTTGCATTTTCAACTCCCGCCCCACTCTAACTGCTCTCTAAACACCAATTATATGGATATAATTGACCAAAGGATCTTCTCTTAGCGCACATCACAATCATTAATACAATAATTATTATATAATCATATTATCCATTTGATGCACTAATTCTTTAATTTAATTTAACACTTCTTACTATTAAACGATTAGAAAATAAACTTTAATATCTTTTAATTCAATGTTTAAACAAAATACTAATAGAGAAACAAATCTCAATTTAAAACTTATAATAAGTTAGTGATATACAAATCACTCAAATTCAATGATTAAATTAATTTATCAACAAAATATAGAAATCAGTTCAAAGTATATTAGTTTATATAATTTAATATTATTGCGACACTTGTATTAATATATTATTATTATATGATGTATGTATTAATATATAAATAACATTTCAATATCAATTAAAGACAGACTATTTGATTGGCTCTAAATCAATGAAATGCTTATTTAAGCAAATATACTGTTATATCAATTCAATAAATTAAAGTATATACAGTATATAGTATGTAATTCATTTACATTCATGAACTGTGAATTCATGATTCTTACTAGTTAGTTAAAACAATATCATTTTATTTATGTTTATTATAAATTACATTCTAGTTAATTTAGAGCAGATATTAAATTGTATTTTTGAAAACATCTATAAAAGATAAGATTGATATTTAAAAAGCAAATAATTTTAAATTAAATATAAAACACAAAATTTGTATATTACAGTATACAGTATATGGTAATAATCATAAATTTTAACACAAAACTTATCATAAAACTTATACTTATACAGTAGTCTATTGCTGCTCTATGTAATGCGATTGAAAGTATTATTATTTTTAATTTGACACATATTTTTATAATTATTTATATTGCAATTTACATATAATTGATAATGGTATAATTGATCTGTTCTTAAAAGAATAAATTGTTTGCAAATATTATTAGATATAAATGCAATTATGAATTTGATTTATATATCACACGAATAAGGGGTAAATGAATTAAAGAATCGTATATTAAAAGTATATTTGGTTATAATCTTGAATATTGATGTAAACAGTGTGTAAAGAGCATGAAATAAATGGAAACTGATTTGGATTGTTATCCAATGAATGCATGATTTATGAGCACTAGTCGAGAGCTGAGGTCGACAAATATGTTTAATAAATATAGTGGAGATAAATAAAGCACTTTAGCTATTTTCAGTCTCATATTATCTATTGATAACACTGTCTATAATTAATTTTCAAAATATAACTCATTGACTAATTATTGACAAAATTATATTAACAAATGAGGAATCGTTACATATTTGAATAATTTTGTGTTTATAACAATTTATCAGTTTCAGACCAAAACCATTTAATATAATTAATAACAACATCGAAGTTATAATTAAGTAAATAATAAAATTAATAGTACCGTGTAAATTTCTAAAAATATGTAAAATTTAGTAAAACCTATAAATTGTATATATTGTTTCATTAGTTTTTTATTGGTTTTCCTATAATTGAGAGCTTTTTGAAATACATCCAAAAAGCATTTCTTTACCTCTTGAGGGTTAATTTGTGCACATCTCTGCATATAATGCATATAATCCATATAATCATCAAGGTTTTTTGTTTAAATCATTCACTCACAGTCTGTAACGAGTTATCTCAAGGACTCGATAGTAATTTGTATTAAAAGAGGGTTTATGTGTCGAAAAGTTTCTACTATTTGATAGACATTACAAAACATGACATCTGTCCTAACACTTAATGGACAGTATGTCTCATATAAGCCGTAACGCACCGCACAATACGGTTGCTATGATAGGGTGACCTTATTTTGTCCGGCTATCAGTCTCTCACATAATAAAACAACATATTTTGACACCATTTATGTGAACCTGAATTTTAGATAATTTTAAAATACAATATTTATAAATATATAAATAATGTTTAATTTATTTTAGTTTATAGAGAAGAATAACATGAAATCAATTAAAATGAAATGAATAAATGCCAAAAACGTGTCTCAATTGCTTACAATGTTTGGATTTATAGTTTTGATTAGAGTTATGGCTTATATTAGAAATGAAAAGCTGAAAGTTTGGTGCATTCAAAGGGGTATTGAAAAGCATGCGATAAATGAGCACAAATGTGAAGACAGTTTCCAGTTTTGAAATCCTTTCACTCTTTGAGGACAAATACATTGATTCTGATTACGATATTTTACAAAATGCATTGATTGACATTTCAAATCAACTCGTTTTAAAATGTATATCAATTAATTGATTATAATTATTTCAAGAAAGGACTAAGAATTATATAAATGTAAAAGATTTGATAATAAAAACAAATTTAATAGTCTTTAAATCTTTATTAATATATGAAAATTTCAATGATTAAAAGAGGGCTAACAAAGTGGTTGTAATTCCAGTTTTTTGCACATTTTTTATTTGAATTTCTTTTTTGAAAAGAAAACTAAGATTAGCATAAAATATGTCAAATACGTGAAAATGATTGGTAATGTAATGCCAGTAATGCCAACATTTAAATTAATGGGCGCTTGATTTGGAATTAACCAGTTATGAGACACTAAACTATTTTACTATTTTTTTGTTTTTGTTTTTGTTTAAGTTTAGTTTGATTTATTCAATAGCAATGAACTGAATTAATGACAGCCAGTAATAGAAATTTACATTTAAATAAATTAATCCTTAAATGAATCTTAAATTTCTATATAAATCACAGAAATAGCAATAATTTTTATCTTAAAAATGTTTAGAAATTTAAATAATGTTGGCAATAATTTAGATAATTGTTGATTATGTTATTATATACTTTATTAACGTGTACTTTATTTCTTGCCATAATATGGTGATCATGTAATCATTGTATGATTATAATCATGGTGAATTTTAATATTCTATAAACAACATTATTTTTACATTTGTGTTTCATATTTATTTAAATTTAAAGAGTACAACAATTTTTATTTATTATATCATTATTCTATTTTATCAATAATAAGATTAGCAATATCAATTATAAATTACACTAAATAAATAAATTAAATGGTTTATAATCAATTAATTATAATAACTATTTATTTTCTTCTATTTTAAAGTAAAAATAACTCCTTTTGTAATTTAGACAAAGGAATAAAAGCAAAAAATTTTGTTTAATGAGAAATTCCGGGAAAATTGTTTTAATTTTTAATCACAAACTCATTATAATCTATAAAATTACTGTCAAAAAGTGCTTTCATTAGATTTTAAACATTCCGAAGAAAAGGACCAAAATAAGACCAAAACCAATGCATTTCTGGCGAAAATAAATAAAACAATTTATTGCTTTTCCATAATTCAAAATTTTTACTACTTATGAATAGGTTGTAAAAACTTTGAACCCAAAAATTACATAAAAGTAGTAAACTTTTTGAATTATTTAAAAGCTATAAATGTTTTATTTACTTTCACAAGAAATACAATGGTTTTGGTCTTATATGAACTCTTTTCTAACATAACTTCTATTCTATGAAATAATTTAATCAAATCAAAACAACAGTCACACATAGGATATCCTCAAACATACAATCAATATAACGCTTACGTATTATTGAAAAAGAAACATAAATATTATACTATTCTATTCTATTGAACAGTACATTATAACTAATTGAAGGCTTCTTCTATCGACGACATTGGACTAAACAATTCAAACATATTATTATAGTTAACCAAACTTTTCAAAACCATTGTTGATCACACTCTCAACCCTTATTATTAATTAATACTAAACAATACTGAGAACATGTGAGGAGATATTTAAACATACCAAACTTTA